TTATCGATGCTATCTATCAGCTTGCTAAGCTACGTATGCTACAGTTCTACTACGACTGCATAGATTTCTACTTCAACCGCTCTGACTTCCAGTATCAGGAGATGGACACTGATTCGGCTTATATCGCTTTCAGCTGTGATAATCCATTTCAAGACTGTATCAAGCCTGACCTACGAACCCACTTCAAGGAGCATAAATACGATTGGTTCCCACGCGACTACAACACTGAGGTAGCTAAGTTTGATCGCCGTACGCCTGGTTTGTTCAAAGATGAATGGTCAGGTGATGCTATGGTCTCACTATCGAATAAGAACTATATTTGCTACCTACCTAATGAGACATACAAAGTAAAGGTTTCAGCGAAGGGTATTCAACAGGGAAGTGGTCGAAACAATGGTGTTCTTAATCCTGATGGGTTTGAGACTGTCGTACGGGATCGCATCACGCTACAAGGTACAAACAAGGGGTTCAGACTATCGAAAGAAACCAAGTCTATCATCACCTATACTCAAACCAAAACAGCGCTTAACTACTATTATGACAAACGTCGAGTACTTGGTGATGGTATCACGACTGAACCACTTGATATTTAAGCAGCTAACCACTGGGGATTTTTTTAAATGTAAATATAGATCATGGACGCGCTATTAAAGAAACTCTACTATGACCCAAAAACCGGTTTTATTGGAGCTCAAGCTCTGTATCAGAAGGCAAAGGAGTTAAATCCTAAGATAACTTTCAAAATTGTAAAGGATTGGTATGTGAGTCAGACTGATATTCAACGATATCAAGAGCAAAATAAGAGATTCAATGGCTTCAAAATAGCTTCGCATAACCCCAACTCTTGGCAAATTGATCTTGCGTTTTGGGAAAAGCGACCAATTTTGACTGCTATCAATATCAACTCGAGGTTGGGCTTTGCGAAGGCCTTATCGAACAAGACAGCAGCAACTGTGTTAGCAGCGCTTAAAGCGTTTGTTCGACTCCATAAAGTGGATATCATTACAAGCGATAATGGTAGTGAGTTCATGAACTCGCAGGCTCAAGAGTTCTTCAAAACCAAGAAAATTGAGCACTACAACAACGAGCGAGCCCGGTGATCACGGAACCATGGGTAAAATCGAACGATTCAACAGAACGCTGAAGCAGAGACTAACTAAAATGTTCCCCAAGAGAATTTCGCAAAAGCTTATCACTGACGTTATCGGAAACTACAATACCACGTTTCATCGTTCGATTGGTATGACCCCAAATGATGCAAAAGGCAAAGTAATGGATGCAGATCTGAGTCATAATCAGGTGGAAGCCGAAAGAATTGAGAAGGAGTTTGACGTCGGATCAAGCGTATTATACCGTCTCAAAAAGCAGGCATTTGATAAAGAAGCTGCTCGATGGAGCAAAGCAGTCTATAAAATCGTTGGAATTGATGGCTACCGAGTCCAAATCCGTTCAAGAAATGGGCATACCCTCTACAAGGCGCCAAACGATCTTAAAATGGTTAAAACAGAGACTACAGATGCTACTATTAATCGAGGCGACATTCTTGAGGCGGAGAAGAACTTGGATCACAAGACGACACGGTCTGGGAAGTACAAATATCTGATCAAATGGCTTGGTAATGAGCCTGACTCCTGGGAGCCATTCTCAAATCTCCGTTTAATTAATAAAAATAGACCATCTGAGTTAGAGAAGGAATATTTTGGGGCTAAAGAAATTCCTTTCTGAAGCAATCACACCAGTCGTGGCTATCGAACTGAAGGCCACACATGTTCTTTTTTTAGTCGACACGAGATCAGCTCTTGAGACGGAGTATTGGGCGCTAAAAAAATGAGACGTGATTAGCTTTAAAATTTAATTGAAAGAGACATCCTCTGTAAGCTTTTTGACTCAAGTATATTATCTAATCTATTTTTCCGAGATTTTTGGGAAATATCTGACTTAATACATAGCAATACGATAGTAATGTGCCCAAGTTGTGTAGAGAAAGAACGTGAGCTCACTCAACTCCGGCGTAAGCTTTGGATCATTCGGGAGGTGAGTCGAACCAAGAATGAGTTGCTAAATCTTGATGCATGCGCGAATTTCCGCAAAACAGTAGTCAATCGAAAGTATCGACATGAGTTGGAAGCAATTTTTGGAGTTCCATTCCATTGCATTAAGGATCGTTATCTAAATCTTCTAAATGAGCGGAATAGTATCTGTCATAACTATCAACCATTTAGGCATGACTCAGTTATGCCGAGTTTGTGGTAAGGGTATTTAACACTACTCATTTTTTTATGGTTCGTTTGATATAGCAATAAAATGTTTCCTTCGTTCACATCCCTCGCTCAGAGAGAGCAAAAACGTCAGGAGCTCCTTGAAAGAACTCAGCGCCGCGTTCGACAATCCAAAACTAAGCGTCAGATGTATGCAGGAACGTCATGGGCAAGTGATATCACGAATGGGATTACTACAGTCCCTAAGAAATCAACAGAATCAACTCAGACCGACTCATCCGAGTCTGCTGAGTCATTAAAAAACACTGATTGGTGGATACTCCCAAACAAACCCTGAGGTCTCAACTCCAAATATTCGACCTGTGATGATCGATGTTGGAGTAGATAGCGGCGTGCAGATGGTAAATAGCTCAAACAATACTGATCGTGTTAACCAAACTGATAGAAATATTCAAGCGAGACCTCAAACATCTGATGTTGGTATCGATAACACACAGCAAACAGCTGATGTTGGAATCGACAATACTCCAAGAATGTTAGATGCTGAAACAAACATGAAAAACCTGGATACCGAAGATCAAGTGGAGGCGCGATCATGGGTTGAGAATTTGTTTAACGCCAATCCTAATTGGGTAGCGCTTCGAATTAAGCCAATTAAGCGTAAAACTGGTAAGGATGACAATAGATACTTTCTTGGTGAAAAGGGGTCATTAATTGCAGTCAAAACGGGTAGAAAGAGTAAGACTTATCAATCGATTGACTGGGTGGCTACAGAGGAGAAGATTAGGGACATCTGGTATGATGGCGAAAGTAAATCAATCGATGAGAGCAGTTATATGAGACTTGAAGACCCTCTTTATCACGTTTCACTAACGCGAAAACGAAAAATCGCCGATCCAAGTGAAGGTGATGATGCATTCCGTTCAAGGCAACGTCTTGAAGATAGTTTTGAGTTGGACACATCGACTTCAACCTCATTAGATCAAGTTGATAGTAAGAATCGATTGCTTTGGTCTATTTTCAAGAATAAGGCAGTGCTTGTGTCGGCTGGTTTGAAAAAGAAAATCATTCCTATCCTCAAGAGCATGGGTAAAACATCTCAGATGGATAGAACTGGATACGTGTGGATTGATGGTTCATCAATTAGTGTATTTGGTATTGATAGTGAGAGAGTCAAGCCAGCGATTACTAAACAAGTCGATTGGAGATCAACATTCCAGGATTTTATCGATTTAG